AATAGCATAGAAAATGGTAAAACATTATACAACTTCTAAGATTCAATCTTTCCGAAATAGCAAGTTGTTAATAAGCAAAAAAAGCATTTCTAATTATCCAAATGATGACTGGGGGAAAAACATATATTCATCTGGAACCAAGTTATCATCCTTAGTGTAATGAAATGCATAATCATATATATTTTGTTCAGTAAAAACTCCTTTGTATTAGGTTGACTGTTTAAACTTTTCTAAAATACTTTCCTTAAATAAAGAATGAAGGAGTCAAAAGGTTTTTTTTTTGTTGTTGTTGTTTTGTTTTTGTATTTTTTTTAGACAAGGTCTAGCCCTGTTGTCCGGGCTAGAGTGCAGTGGTGTCATCATGACTTACAGCAGCCAGCCACTTGGGCTCAAGGGATCCTCCTGTCTCAGCTTCTAGAGTAGCTGGGACTACAAGCACATGCCACCTTGCCTAGCTTAAGAAGTATTCTTAATCCAGACCCTAGATTTAGAAAGTAAAATATACCAAATCATGTCTTATGTGTTTTTATTTAAAATTTTTTGTTTACATTTAAAATTCTGCACTTATATAGATTTTATATATTTTTCATTTATTTTTAAATTTTGTTTATATTTTAGATAAAAGACTGAGAGAAATATTGTGGATAGATAACATGCTTATTATATATAAATTTCATTTATATGCAAGTATCTGAAATAGCTATTGTTACCTGATTTCCATGGAGATCCAGTTTGATTAATTTGATACAACTTTGAAGTGGATGAATATCTGTAATGAAATTGTTTGAGAAGATACATACTCTAAGAGATACACAAGATTGCAAATTTTCCATAGATTTTAAATGAAGGCCACTGAACTTCATAAAAACAAAATCTTTTTGGTCTTCTATTATGTTTTCATTATAGTGACTCCATTCTTCATGACTGGTTAGCTCTTCTGTGATTGTTCCATGAAACATCTAGGAAAGATGAGAAACCGCTTTCAAAAATGTTTTAAACTTCTAAAAATCTGAGAACAAACAAAAATTTACCAAGAAATAGTGAGAATAAAAATGGGTAGAAAAGTTGAAATTAAAGAAATATATCTAATTCCCATAGAACTTTTTATCCCAAAGTATCTTAAATATCTAACATTTCTAAAGTACTACTCAGAATGTTATCATTTCTCTCATCAGCTAATCAGTAAGAGAAGAAAATTTTCATTTTTCATAAAATACTTAACTTGAAATACAGTGAAGTAGCTGAGATAAAATATCACTTCTAGACAACAACAAACTATACCTTGCATAGCTGATATAATAATTTTGCTTAAAAGATACTGTTAAATAAAGGAATGCATTGAATAATGAACAAGTAAGGAGAGTGATAATCTTTGTCATAATCTTTGCCAGAGAGGCTGAAAAATGCAGATTAGATGAAATTCAGGCCTTCAGCTGTCATTAACAATATTTATTTCTTAAACAGATGATTTGTCATTACATTATTTTTATGTTCAATTCAATCAGGCAATTAGGATACAGAATTCTAAGCTTTAAAATTTGACTATTTAAATTTATCTACAACTTTTGTATCAAAGTTTTTTATATAATTTTTAATATAATTTTTATGGTATTTCTCATATAAGTTTTCCCATATTATGAGTAATTTCAGCTTTCATAAAATGTAAGTCAATGATTTAGAGGCATCCTTCCCCACTGGAAGTATCAATTTCTACTACGTGCAGGTAAACTGAACCAGGATAATTCAAACGAGAACAAATGTGAAAAACCACATAAACTCTTGCACTCATTCAGGACATTGAATACTTTTATATCCTGGCCAAGGCCTAAAACTATAATCCTCAAAACTCTAAGTATCACCCAAGGAATTAGTTAAAAGTAGATGTCTGGGCCTCATCTTATAACTGCTATATCAGAATCTCCAGGCTAAAGGGCCATGAATCTATAATTTAACAGGCAATTCATAAACACTTTGAGAAAGATTAGCCTAAACTACAGGTAAACAAGTCTTTCAAATATAAAGATCCAGATATGGAATAAATAGATATGAATTAACTTTTACAAACTAAACTCATTAAGCTCTGTTAGGTCCTAGAATGTAGGGCAATATACACATTGCATCCCATCATTTGGACTCCCTAAATAGAAAATACCTTAAGAAGTCTTCTCTCAGGCTCTCCTTTCAAAGACCTACTTCTCCATTTTGGCCAAAAGATAGGCTATCTTCAGAACAGTTTATAATAAGGGTTTATGAGAGACCATATCTAGGGTACACTGGGATGTTTCGAGACAGATAATAGGGCACCTCAAAAGTTTCAGCCATAGAATCCATTTTTTGAAGCCAATAACTATTCCGCAAGAAATCTGTAAAATGAGAGTCATACACCAAAGAAATGTGTCATTTATTTTATGATCATGTGATCTTTTAAATTAGTAAACTTTTTTGGGGCAGGGGCTGTTACCAGAAAAATTGAGTGGCAAAAACAAGAGTCCCCATATACTCCCTCTATTATTAAAATCTTGTGTAAGTGTGGTATATTTGAGACAATTAATGAACCAATATTAACATATTATTAACTAAAGTCCATAGTCTACATTAGGGTTCACTCGTTTTGTTGTAAATTCTATAGGTTTTGAAAAATATATGACATATCCATCATTATTGTATCATGCAGAATCATTATTGTATCATTTCCTAAAAGTCCCCCGTGCTTCACCTATTCCTCCCTGCCTCCCTACCCTCAATCCGACAACCACTTATCTTTTTAATGTTGCCATACTTTTACCTTTTCCAGAATGGCATATAGTTGTAAGCATAGAATATGTAGGCTTTTCAAATCAGCTCCTTTCACTTAGTAATAATATGCATTTAAGGTTCCTCCACATCTTTAAAAAAATAGCTTATTTTTTAAAAGCACTGAATAATATTCCATTTTATGGATGTACCAGTTTATTTACCCATTCACCTACTGAAGATAATTTGGCTGCTTCAACTTTGCACAATTATGAACAAAGATGCTATAAACATTTGTGTACAGGTTTCTTCATGGACATAAGTTTTCAACTCATTTGAGTAAATACCAAGTTTACTTGCTGGATTATATGGTAAGAGTATGTTTCATTTTGTAAGAAACTGCCATTGTCTTCCAAAGTGTCTATGCCATTTGCATTCGCACTAGCAATGAATGAGAGGTCCTATTGCTCCACAAACTCTCCAGTATTTGGTAGTGCCAGGGTTTTGGATTTTGGCCATTCTTAATATGTGTGTGGTGGTATCTCATCTTAATTTGCAATTCCCTAATGATATATGATGTTGAGCATCATATATCATTCATATGCTTATTTGCCATCTATGTATCTTCTTTGGTAAAGTGTTCAGATGTTTTGTCCATTTTTTTGATTGGGTTGTTTTCTTATTGTCAATCTTAAGAGTTCTTTGTATTATTTTGGATACCAGTCCTTTATCAGGTATGTGTTTTGTAAAGATTTTATGCCAGTCTCTGGCTTGATTTTTCATTTTCTTAATTTTCTGTTCTTTTGTAGCTCATAAACTCTCAACGGAACCTTTGGATAACCAACACCCATTAACATGGATCCCATTTCTTCACATAAAGCTAAAGCTGACTTTATACTTTTCATCACAGCATCAATACACAAATTTTATATATATATTTATATATCGCTATATATATTTCGTGTATATATATATATACACACACAAAATCTTTTTATTTCAAACTATTGTTTTTCACACTGATTATTCCATCTATTTTCAAATTTCTTTGTAGAAAATATTATCTTCTTTCTGGCATTTATTTTCAGGGATTTTAAACAGTGGTATTCAATCACAAAGGTATGGAATCAACCTAAGTGCCCATCAATTGATGAGTGGATTAAGAAAATGTAGTGTGGCCGGGCGTGGTGGCTCACGCCTGTAATCCTAGCACTCTGCGAGGCCGAGGCGGGTGGATCGCTCAAGGTCAGGAGTTCGAGACCAGTCTGAGCAAGAGCGAGACCCCATCTCTACTAAAAAATAGAAAGAAATGATCTGAACAACTAAAAATATATATATATATATATAAAAATTAGCTGGGCATGGTGGCGCATGCCTGTAGTCCCAGCTACTTGGGAGGCTGAGGCAGAAGGATCGCTTGAGTCCAGGAGTCTGAGGTTGCTGTGAGCTACGCTGATGCCACGGCACTCTAGCCCAGGCAACAGAGCAAGACTCTGTCTCAAAAAAAAAAAAAAAAAAAAATGTAGTGTATATACATACCATGGAGTACTGCTCAAAGATAAGAAAATGAAATAATGTCTTCTGCAGCAAATTGAATGGAACTAGAGGCCATCACCATAAATGAAGTAACTCACGGACAGAAAAAATAAATATCGATGTTCCCACTTATAAGTGGGAGCTAAACTGTGGCTAAACAAGGGCATATAGAGTGATATAATGGACATTGGAAACTCACAGTGGGGATGATGAGAGGGAGTGAGGAATGAAAAATTACCTGCAGAGAACGATGTACACTACCTGGGTGATGGGGTATACCAAAAGCCCAGAGTCTACCACTATACAATATATATGTAATGAAATTCAATGTGTAGCCCCAAAATCTATTAATATAAGAAAACAAAGTGTTTTTAACTAAGTACAGTTATTAACGTCTATAGATTCATCAATCAGAAATTATTTATTTTAAATTTTCTGGATTAATATTTTCTATATGTCATCTGAACACATTAATGATCTACTACTGGTATCATTCAAAAATTGCATTTTTTCTATTTTCTTTACTAATCTCAGACAAACTAAGTAATTTTACAAAATGAGGTTCTGCACTTATGTGAAGCATTCAAACTTGACCTATTAGATGAATAACCTTGTCAGTAGCTTTGTGACATTAATACTATTATAACCAACATCATAAAATAACATCCCCTATCCACAAAATTCTTAAATATGTTCAAATTTTTTCTATATAAAATGATTAATGTATGATTGAGGGAAAAATACAAGTTCTCCACCACACAAAGAGGCACACTGTGTTGTGCTAGCCTGGAGTGCTCAACAAAATTGTTACCAAATAGATTAAGCAAATGCCTAAGGATAGTTATAAGGCAAAAGAGATGTGCCTTGGCACTTTCTTGAGGCAGAGGCGACCAATGTAAACCAGCCTTGATTGCTTTAGAATTGCTTTAGCTGACCTATAATACCCTTTAGCTAATTCTAATACTAAAATCTCTGCCTAGTGGAAAATTATATCATCATTAACATAACATAGGTTATATGAAGGTACATGATTGTACTGTGTATGCTTGATTTGTTTCAATATGAACATGTGATGATACAAGTAAGAGCACTGCATCACTCACTGGAAAGAGATTTAAGGCAACACCACAGGTAAATAGTGTGGGTTTAACTCTAGGAAGAAGAATAACTCCTGTTCTGCCCAGGACTGAATGTTCAGGGAACTGTGCAAGGAGTAAATAGCTGGAGAACTGAATGTCTGGGAAACTCCTATGCAAGGAGAAAAGAGCCAAAAAACTCCTGCATGTGAAAGATTACTTACACAAGCGAATGCCTTGTGTAAATAATCTCTAATAAACTCATCTAACTCACCAATCTGGACTTGTCTGACTCATTCTTTGGTTTCTTGGCTCCATCTTAGTTTAGGGGGCGGTTTTTCTATACTGTCCTGAGATTTTTCCCGAGACAATGATAAGGGAATTAGTTTGATTGCCATTCTTGCTTTACATGAAAACTTCTAATAAATAAGACATACAGTCTGAGGAAGAAAAGAATTACTGTGTCACACAAATCCAAATTTGAGATAATTTTCATGATATTATAATACTTAATTCAATGCCTTTTTTCTCCATTTTGTCCAACAGTCTACATTTTAACTTTAATCAAAAAGATGCCTACTTTAAGCAAAAAAAAATAAAAATTCTTGTTAAGA